CACACACACACACACACACACACACACACACACACACACACACACACACACACACACACACACACACACACACACACACACACACACACACACACACACACACACACACACATTAACTACAACACACACACACATTAACTACAACACACAGCAACTTGCGGTACGGGGAGTGCCGGCCAGCGGAGTGAGAGGCTACGGAAAGAAATACGTAGACACTGCCGGAGCAGAATGTTGGCGGAGCCAAGTATCTATGAGAGAGGATTCAGGGTCGGCCGGGTAGACACTGCCGAAGCAGAATGTTGGCGGAGCCAAGTATCTACAAGAGTCTGCGTCCGAGGGACGGCGACCGAGGGCCCTGAGTAGCCGGAAATGAGCGTGGCCAACACCCCGTTTATTCACTTTATCAAAGCAAATTAGTGATGAGAAATGGGAGGTGGGAGGGTGAAACACTACGAGCAAGCAAGAATGATCGTCGCACAGAACGGATCGAAAATATATAGCAGAGCAAACTCTAGCAAGACATGCAACGATGCATGCCACCCACGTTGAGCTACAAGCAAGCGCCATCATAACGCCGCCAAACCCACCCACGTTGAGCTACAAGCAAGCGCCACCATAACGCCTCGCATCGGAGGCGAGCGACACGCATGAACGCCACGTAAAGAGACACGTTCAATGTCACGTAGAGAGATGCATTCAATATCATGCAGAGTGCCAAGCCGCACAGAGACCATAGCCAGCAGCAAAGCGTGAGCATGCAGTAACAGCACTATCAAACATAGCAGCATAGATTGAGCGGTAGCGGAAAGCTGCGTGCACCCGTTAATCTGCATTATCACCATAATGCTACACACACACACACACACACACACACACACACACACACACACACACACACACACACACACACACACACACACACACACACACACACACACACACACACACACACACACACACACACACACACACACACACACACACACACACACACACACACACACACACATATACACACACACCCACACACACACACACACACACGCACCCACGCATGCACACACACACACACACACACACACACACACACACACACACACACACACACAAACACACACACACATACATGAATGCGCGCACACACATACATACACACACACAAACACACACAAACACACACACACACAAACACACATATACACGCACACATATACATGCACACATGTACACACACACATAATAATTATACACACACATATACACACACATAAACACACACATACACACACACATAAACACACACATATACACACACACATACACACACATACACACACACGCACGCACACATGCACACACACCCACACATATATACACACACACATACACACACACACACACATATACACACACACATATACACACCCATACAGACACACACACACACATACATACACACACATGTACACACACACATGCGCACACACACACACACACACACACACACGCGCACACACACGTACATGCGCACGCACGCACACATTGTCATATTGGATACAGACCGTATCTTATGAAGTAGTGAAGCCGCCCTGGAGGATTGTATTGCATTCGATATTTTACTTTTAAAAACAAAGTCCAATAGGATAGTGAAGGGTGCGGGTGTGGGTGTATGAGTTTTTTATTTATTTATTTATTTATATGAAAGTCCACTATATTCCCGAATATGTGCGAGAAGTGGTGGCGGGGACAGGCTGCTCTGCCGACCTTAAAGGTCTCGGCGTCTACGCAGACAAAGCGCGCCATATTAATGGAGTAAAACCATGAAGAGGGGAGGAAGATGGGAAATGAATAATAGTGGGAAACAAGGACAATGCGTAGATGGTCGTGAGAGAAGCAGAGTGAAAGATAACGTCACATTGTGGTAAGGGGGGGGGGGGGAGGATGCTAGTAAGGCACTGGTCTAAACCGTTTCATAGGGCGTCGGTGGCTGCTTGCCAGTTCAGGTGCAGCAGATACTTGTTGCTTTTTTCCTTGAATGATTGGAGCTGTCTGGGTTGCGGCCGTGCTGGTAGAATGGCCGCTGGTGGGCTGTTCCACAAGGGAATAATGCAGTCTGGGTAGGAAACCTGGAGGCTGCTGGCAGCGTCGACTTGAGCTGGAGCCGGTGGCAGTGGGCAGTCTCCGTGGCTACCCTAGTGGATCGACCACCCACTGGGCGGGGATTCGCTGGAGGTGGGAGGATGGGCGTCAGGGGGCTTGTTGTTGGAAGGTAGGACAGCTTGAACGTGAACGAAAGCGCAGCAACCAGTCGGCGGTGTTTCAGGCTGGGGAGCCAGGCGCCTGGGCCAATCACCTTCAGTGCCTTGTGCTGGATTTTGTCCAGTCTGGATGTACCTGACCCCATCCACACCAGGCAGCAGTATTCCATTGTTGGCCGCACGAAGCCTTTGTAGACTGCCGTGCGGCCGCTGGAGTCCAACAGGGGCGCAACCTTTCTCAGGAAGTGTAGGCGTTGGGCAGCCTTTGAGGCCACGGCCCGGAAGTGTGCTGCGTAGGACAGTTGCGAGTCGAATGCTATGCCCAGAAGTTTAATTTCCTTCTCTTCAGGAACAGTCACTCCATTGAAAAGCACTGGTAGGAACGCTGGGGGAGGCTTGCGGTGGTCGATGATGAGGGCCTGAGATTTGGATGATTCGAAGGTCACCTTCCACTTGGAACCCCAGTGGGAGACGGCGTCCACTGCTTCTTGGAGTTGTGCTGCAGAGTCGGATATGCTGGCGGTGGCAGAGATGCACTGATACAGTGTCGTGTCATCTGCATACGTGGCAAGCTCAGCACCAGCAGGCAAGGTGTCCTCGCAGTCATTTACGTACAGGAGGAATAACGTTGGTCCAAGGATGCTACCTTGTGGTACCCCTGCTTGGATATGGTGCAGGGAGGACTCTTGGCCGCCCACAACAGCCTGCAGGCACCGGTTGTGCAGGTAGCTTTCCAGCCATCCGAGAAGCGGGCCGTCTAGACCGTACACGGAAGCCTTATGCAGCAGGCCAGCATGGCTGACTTTATCAAAGGCGCCTGCTATATCTATCACCAAAACATGGGCGGCTCCTCCTAGGCCGGCTGCTCTGGACCATTCACAGTGGAGCTTGGTTAAGACGTCGGCTGTGCTCAGGCCCTTTCTGAACCCGAACTGTTTCGCAGAGATGACATTGTGGGACTCCACGAAACTGGTTATCTGACGATTGACAATTGTTTCCATCACTTTGGATATGATAGACAGCAGAGACACAGGTCTGTAGTGTTGAGGCAGGTTCTTGGATTTCTTCTTGTGAATGGGTGTGACTCTAGCTGTCTTCCAGGATGTCGGCATAACCATGCTGTAGAAGCTAAGGGAGAACAGTTTGGAGAGTGGCTTACTTAGGGGGTCAGCACACATCTTCAGAACTCGCGCGGGAATGCAATCCGGTCCAGTAGCTTTCGATGCATTTAGGCGCCGGAGTTCTCTCTTGACAGTGGCAGGGCGGAACCGAACCGTTGAGAGCTTTTCAGCCGTGCGCTGAGCAACGTGGGGAAATCAGTCGCTGGTTGGTTGGCGGGGATGTCGTCGGCGCCCAGGCTGCACTTTGAGGCGAAATACTGCCCAAAACACTCAGCTTTTTTGGCATTCGATACGCATTCCAAACCAGGCTGCGGCGTGAGAGTTGGGATGGAGGTGTTTCTGCTGCTGCCACCTGCTTGCTTGATGGTAGACCACCACGAGCGGTCACTCAGGCTAGCTTTGGAGAGCTTAGTGCGCAGGGTAGCCAGGCGGGCCACCTTGGCGTGCTGGAGGATGTCATTACAACGTAGAGTGGCTGCTGAGGCTGTCTGCCGCGCTGCTGTTGACTTCTGCCGTCTGGCAGTAGCCCAAGCCCTCTCTTTTGCTTTACGGCATCGGTGCACTCAGGGGTCCAGCAAGCTGGATCCGTCCGGTCGGGATGTGAGTTGCCGGGATGGGATGAAACGTTACATTCCCTGGAGGATAACTTCGGTGATGTTGGCACATGACTCATCAGCGCTGGTGGTGAAGGCAGTTGACCAGTCATAGGCTAGGAAAAAGTGACAGAGGCGGTTCCAGTCTGCTTGGTTGTACCGCCAGACAGTGCGTGTGGTTTTTGGTTCACGGAACGCAGAGATAGGGAAGTCCATGGTGAGGACAGCGTGGTCAGAGGACCCCAGTGGGGCATGGCATTTCACCTGAACCGGTTCACTGAAGTCAGACATCACAAGGTCCAGGGTGTTGTCTCCACATGTGGGGATGTTGACATGTTGCTCCAGACCATGAACATAGCAGAGTTCCTCGGCTGCTTCTCCTGCCGAGGTAGTCTTGGTGCTCCCTAGCCATGCTGCATTGTGGACATTGAAGTCCCCTGCGAGGATAACATAGTCACCGTGGCTGCGGGCCTCATCTAGGTGGGTATCAAGGTATTCGATCAGCTCGGTGTCTGTCCCGGCTGTGGAGCCTGATCGGTAGAGCGCACAGATAACAATCTTGGACCGGCTAGCTGTTGATACAGATATCCATATCACTTCGTGATGTTCCGTGCTGAACCGGTCCAGGTGCTGGAAGGCCATTTTTGATTTCACCCAGATGGCGAGTGACACTGTACAATAATTATTATTATGTCGTGATAGAAGTCGCATCCCATGTTTTTGGTCGCGAAATTTAGTTATCTAGCACTATCTACCCTATATTCGGTGTATATGTCGCACCCGGAATTTGTATCGATTGCCTACTTCCTCCGCAGCTACAATGACATTAAGCTTGCAGCACTTTACTTTGCACCGTTCATTTTGCCACCGGAGCTTAAGTCTTCACTGGAAGGAAGTGAGAAATCGGTGGTGCAGAACCTGTTGATAGTCGGGGGCAATGTCGGCAATTGTATCAACAATCGTGGGTCACTATGCGTAGATCGTTATGCTATTTCCTGTCTGTCGTGCATCTTGTCTTTCTCTTTCAGATGTACGCACACAGTGTGGCGGTGGCCCTGGCCGTGCTCCTGAAATGTGCCATGCCTTTGCTAGCTGTGGGCGGATACACGATAAACCCAGATGTGTGTGTAACCCTGGATACAGCGGTAATGGAATCAGCTGTGGAGGTAATCTTGATTTCTCTAGTCCACCTCCCCTGTGTTTGCTTTGGACCTATACGGACTGTGCGCAGCTGTTATGATTGAGGCAAAGTGCACAAAATGTATATTCCACGCACTGTGTCGTTCCCCTTGTCGTTGGTAGCTTGGTATGTTCCACCCACTGAGCTGGTTGTAAAGTAACATTTGGTGTTAGTGGACATTACAGCGTAACTTGTAGTTCCTTGGTCCTTTCATATTCCGATATTAAAATGCATCCTTGGTACAGTACTAAGCAGATAGTATGTTTCACTACACCTCCAACTCACAACACACAAAATCCTCCGCTACACCACGTACAACGGGTTTTTCCAAATTATTAGATATCAGAAGAAGAACAGAGGACCAAAAGAGCTACAAGTTACGCTATCATATCCACTAACACCACCAGTTATGTTACAATCAGCTCGTGCGATAACATTGCACGATACTGACCTACGGAATGACGTTCTACACCTAACTGCCGATCTTATCAGCTGTAGCACGTCTTGGATGCACACTTCACTGTGACAGTCTTCCAGCTTGGAAGGTTATAGAAATAACAGAAGGAGGGGAAGGTGAGCGCAACCAAGACAAGCCGATGAGCTGACAGTCTCAGCTGTGAAGGACATTGGCGGGTGTATACGTATGTCGAGGACGATACTGGCAAGATCATCAGACAAAACGACGGTCAAACCACAATTCAAGGACGCACAGCAACAGCATACCACCCAACTTGTGTGGCTCTAACGATTCGAAGATTAATTGGTCCTCTGTTCTTCTTACTTGGTCCGGCTCATCGCAATTGTCGCTTATCTTTCGCCACTAAGAACAGGAGTTTTTTTTACCGCTCTGTGAATTTTCCAACAGGCATAGTGAGGAAGCATGATACATGAATACTCTCCGCCACAAGAAAAAAATTCAGCAATGGAATCAGGTGAAGCGAGTCGAAGAAAGGAAGCAAGGTAAGCAAAATGCACGAAATAAGTCAGCGAAGGAGCGCGTTCTTGCACTCACACTAGTAATACAGGTCCAGAGTTCACTCATCTCTGCATCTCTCGAGCTGCGTCGTTACATGAGCGGACATTTGCTGGTGTCTAGCTGCTGGTGTAGACTGGTAGAGTATCTCTTGCGTTCTCAGCCTGTCGTATGTCAGCAGTGGGAAAGGAACAGTTGTAGCTGTCACTTCGGTACTTGAAGGAACCTGGGCAGTGTGACCTGTGTGTCACCACAGTGTGTTTCAACAAAGCCTTCGAATGAGGCATACAGGCCTTTCCAGACAGCTGTCATACGCTCCGCTGGATACGCTGGCCACGACTCTTGTAATGCGGCTGCTAGGTCCACCAAGAGAAGGAACAACCAACATGTCGGCCAAGCGCATCACGTCAAAAACACCTTTCTTCTTCAGCATGACCCTCATACTCCTCTGCCGTGCACGAGCGTGCCTGTCACGCTCTCCAGGTCAGGATGTCTTTTTTTTTTTTTTTTTTTTTTTTTTTTTTTTTTTCAGTACTACACCTGCAGGGCAGTTAGCTTTTTCGAGCTCCGTAGTTTTCGCAGGTTTTGTAGTAGCCAGCCGGCAGCAGGCCGGTCTGGAGAAGGGTAGGTATTAGGTAGTTAAATACATGTAGGTAGTAGTTAGTTAGAGAAGTGTATACGTATGTAGTATGGCTGCAAATATGTCTGCAAAAGGTAGTTCTAACCTAAGCCGCGGTTCAGGCACCCCCACCGCTTTGGAGTCACGTCGAAGGAAGGCAATCACCCCTCCCGCTGCCCTGCGCACAGCTACAGGAGGTTCGTACAGTGCCTCGTTGTCTTCAGGAAATCATGAGGCCCCCGTGGACATGATGAAGGAATTTAGGACGTGTATGTCCGAGTTGTTAGACGAACGGCTGGCAAACCTGGTGACACAGGTTGCAGACCTAACCACGGAGGTGACAGCTCTGAAGGCAAGACTTGGTGATCTGGAGCGGGAAAAGACGGACCTTGCCGCCACGGTACGGTTTTTGACAGACGACGCCAGCAATACAGCAGTGCAAGGCGGACCAGTTGGTGCACCATTGACCTCTGACGCGGCAAATGCAGGACCGGTAGTTCAACTCGAACCATACAACCTCTCCGACATCATTGCAGAGGAGGTTGAGAGGTCCAACCGTACTACCAGCGTCATAGTACGAGGACTGCCTGCATCATGGAATGAAACCCTATCCCTGCATTGCAGTACTCTGTTCAAATGTTCGACCTCTGACCTGCTGGAAGTCGAACGTTTGCGCCCACGCGCTACTGAACATGAGACTCCAGCGCCAGGTCCAGCTCCTGTCAGGGTACGCTTTGGAAACAAGCGCCTCAAGGCGTCAGCGTACAAGGATCGCCTTGGCCTGAAAGTGAATGGACATGATGTGTACGTCAACAACGACCTCACTCGACAACAGCAAACGAAGCGGAAGGCAGTACTACCGAAGTATAAGCAACTTCGAGCCAAAAAGGTCAAGTGCTCTCTGCCTTATGACGTCATATTGGATGACAAAGGGACACCTCTCTCTGACAATGCCATCCAGGATCTGCTGTCTGCCCAATAGGACATATCAGGGAACCCCCAGCCAGACAACCGTGCCGTCCTCAAAGTTGCTCATTTAAACATCTGCAGCCTACGAAACAAAGTTCATGAAATCCATCATATCCTGCATGCCAATAAAATTCACATCATGTCAATTAATGAAACCTGGCTAGACAGCTCAGTATCAGATTCCCTGCTGAACATCCCTGGATATCGGATATACCGGAACGACAGGAACTTGAGGGGCGGAGGTGTGTGCTTGTACGTCATGTCTAGTCTCCGCGCTCGTCTCATCATGCCCGCATCCAACACACATCTGGAGTCGTTGTTTGTGTCAGTTCGCATTGCACGGGAGCCAGATGCGTGTAAGCTCCTCGTGAGTTCAGTCTACCGCCCACCGAGCTCTGGTACAGAATTCTGGGAGCAGTACAGTGCCCAGTTGGATGGCATTTTCGTGGACAGCTCTGACCTGCTAGTTCTGGGAGATTTGAACACGGACATCTTACAACCGACTCTACATCATAATCATCATCTACTTAAGCTTTGTGCAGAGCACCAGCTGCAGAACATTGTCCACGCACCAACTAGAGCGCCGTCAAACACGTGTCTTGACCTGGCTCTGTTGAACACTACCTTTCCATTGCCCAATCCAACGATCATTCCCATGTCAGATCTTACTGATCACCACCTAGTCCGCCTTGATATTGTAATACCGGAATGGAAGCCCCCAGCAACCCAGAGAACTAAGGTTGTGAGAAAACCAGGAATAGCTACTATCAACTACTCTCAGTTTAATGCTGACCTGAATGATATGCTCGAGGACTCATCCTCATTTTCAACATTGGACAGTCAAACTTGCCATCTTCTAACGTCTATCGCTGCTGTTACTGATACGCATGCTCCATCTAAACAAGTTAGACTACCCCTCTGTCCCAAACCTAAGCCTCAACCGTGGGCAACACCAGAGTTACGGAAACTGCTGCAGCGCAGAACTACTCTGCATCGAAGAGTCCTTTCGCAGCCTGGGAATATGGTTCTTAAGCAACAGTATCGTTCTGTCAGACGCGAGGGGACGCTTCTGAGTAGGAGACTGAAATCCCGTTTCCTGATGCACCAGTTCTCGGCACTCCGACGAAATCCTAGAGGTCAGTGGGCTCTTCTTAACAGTCTGTCTGGCAGGCGGAAAGTAAGAAATCAGCCAATTGCATCTCTCAGTAGTCTGACAGAGACATTTGCTAACATAGTGCACGATCCAAGCCGGCCTGCTGACATATGTTTACGCCCAGCCACCCAACAGCCAACTACTGCTGCTCGACTGTCCCATTTTCGACCCGTAACTGTGGCGCACATCACCACACTGCTCAAAGCAACAAACACAAGTAAGTCACCTGGCTCTGACAATGTCTTACCAGCCGTACTGAAGCATGGTCGTGATTCCATAGCAGTTTCTCTCACTGATATTATCAATAAATCTCTGAGCACAGGGTGCGTACCAGATATTTTCAAGAATGCCACAGTCAGCCCAGTTTTCAAATCAGGCGATGCAGAAAGCTCTACTAATTACAGACCAGTCTCATTATTGCCCATATGCAGCAAGATATTAGAACGAGTTGTCTTGGAGCAGCTGATTGCATTCTTTAAGTTACACAACATCATGTACGTGCCTGACAATCAGTTTGCCTACCGTACCAACAGCTCGTGTGAGGACTGCCTAGCGCTAGTGGTCGACGAATGGCTCCAAGCCCTTGATAACAACGAGTACTGCGGCATAGTGTTTGCAGATATGAGCAAAGCTTTTGACCGAGTTAAGCATCAAGAGCTCATTGACGAGTTGAAGATGCTTGGCATTGCTGACACTGCACTTGCTTGGTTTGCAAGCTACCTGACCAGACGCGTCCAGCGAGTAAGAGTAGGACAAGAGCTAGGTGGGGCCCGCCCTTGCACAAGAGGCGTCCCACAAGGCTCCGTGCTCGGCCCACTGCTATTTTGCATTTACACCCGTGATGCACCACAGTGCTTCCAACATGCATTGAATCAACTTTATGCCGATGATATCACACTCTATATCAGGCACAAGTCCATCCAGATCATCACAACCCAGCTGAGTGCTGACCTTGCCGCTCTGGATCGCTACCTAGATCAGAAGGGACTGGTGTTAAACCCTTCCAAGACTCAGTTTGTCCTGCTCAGGCGACCGGGCAAGGAGCTGCCACCTGGCACCGCAGTCAACTGCCGGGGCACTTCCATAGCCCCATCTGCTTACGCTCGGTACTTAGGAATACTGGTTGACGAACATCTGTCTTTCTCAACCCAAGTGGATGCAGTATGTGCAACTGTCAATAGGAAGGTCGGAGCATTTGTCCATGCAAAGCAGAATATCAGCATTTTTGGCAAACGACTTTTCTATTTATCGATCATTCAGTCCACATTTGAGTTTGGCAGCACTGCATATATTCATTGCTTATCACAAACCCTATATGACAAGCTTCTTACTGCCAGCCGCGTAGCATTAAAGAGAATATTTTCGTTGGATAGAATGACTCCCACCACTCTTCTATACAGTCATACTAACTTGTACGCCCTTGAGAAACGTCTCAACTTCAAAACCTATGTATTTGTTTACCGCTGCCTGAATGGACTTGCTAGTCCTCTTCTGCGAGACCGCTTTACCTTGCGCGCCCATGGTGCTCGCACTGCAGCCACCACCCGTGGCCAAGTCTCTGCTGCTCTTGTTCTGCCCCCCGCTAACACCCGATATGGCTTTAGTGCAATTTCTTATTTGGGCGCTGCCAGGTGGAATACACTTCCACCGGCTTGCCGCATGTCTAGTTCACCAGCTGAATTTCGCTCATCCATCAAATTATACCTAGGGTTCCCTGTAAAAAGGCGCTGACGCCTGTTGGGAATTCCCTAGTAAAAGAAGAATAAATAATAATAATAATGTCAGTTGTCCCTGCTACAGTTCCGGTCTTCAGGTCGCTAGCGCTGCGCTTGGCTTTTGGCAACACAGACAGTGAATGGCCAGATTCTCACTTCCCAAAAAAGTCGAATACATCGCGATTCAAGGCGCTAGTTGCGATCATTTTTTCTTTGGTGCCTCCTTTGATCTTGCCATTACGATCTCCCAAGCAAAAGTAAGTTAGATATTGTGATTGGACTGGGTTTTACCTGTCAAAAAGTGCGTAGGGGATAAACGACAATTGCAATGAGCCGGACCAAGTATAAATTAATCTATGGCTCTCCACCCGAGTCTCACAATTAAATATTATTTCATTGTAAAAATTATTACAGTAATACGATGAGAAGTATTACTACATCATTAGAAAAAATCTGCAAAAAAGTATTTCAAATGGCAGAAAAAGGTTTCAGCGCTACTAAAGAACATTGTCACCTTACTCGCGTGATCAGTGCCCCTGGGGCACTTTTTTTCAATGTCCACCCCTGAAGGGGCACTATTCGAGAGAGGGCACTGTTTGTATTTTTCAATGCTGGTACATTTACGTCATCCTGAATAAAAACAAAGAAGGCGAAGAAAAACAAAACCTAAAGTTTCCTGTAAACTATCATGACTTAACAGAAACAGCAACAACACGATTTTGATCCTGAAATCACCAGTGCAATGAGATGGACAAGAACATTAGCTAAAGAACACCAACACTTGCACATGTGCTTGGTTACAAGCCAGTGTGGGGCACTGTTCAAGAGGGGGCTGGAATAGACCCGTTGCACATTGCCAAATCCGGAATGTATGGGTAGTGCATGTGGGTACGCTGGGCTGTGAAGGGTGTTTATGGTACAAATTACGTCATTGCGCAATGGGTTAATTGCGCGAGTATCGTATGTGAGACAACAGCACGTTCCACTTCACCGAAAAGTACCTGATTTTTTGTTGTTGTTGCTGTGAACATTTCATTTTCTTTATGTCAAATTACCTCAGCTAATCTAAAATGCTCTGCTAGAAACTCCACTCTTTGGGTAAACTTCAATGGAAAATGGTCGTACAGCACGGCCACTGGTGCTTGTTACATACCAACATCCCAAACAACTGATACGGTCCGCAAACTAACTCTGGTCAGCATAGAGGCCGACTTCTTCTCCTGCATCAAAGACCTCGTCGAGCGCTATCACCTCCAATCGGAGAGGCTGTGGGTATCAGGTGGACTCTACCACAATGGCAACTTTGAAAGCTTAACTCCTCATCTTGATAAATCTAATGTCAGGTATTATAGTATTTGTGAGGATCGCAGGAAACTCTATGGTGAAGGTGAGTTTCTTGAATGGTTCGGCAGCATTTCTGTTAAGTCATTTTTTTAGTCATTGAATTAGGGGGCTTAACTCGGATACTGAACCAATAAATAGAATTAAAATAGAAGAAAAATAGAAGAAAACATGTCAGTTTTGTGCCCCGTTATCGCACTTTCTGACCGTTTATTATCTTGCAGTCGTGGATAGTTCCTTCGCAACTCCGTTTCCATAATATGAGTTCTTCTATTTTAATTAGGGGGTTGTCCGTAATTTTCGAAAAATTAAAATAATCTGTTTCCAAGCCAGAAGGGGAGAGTGGGTGGTCAAGAGTTCAGGTAGAATTTATTTTTTAAATTCTTTTTCATACACTTGTTGCACTGGTGGTGTACTGTAGACTGCTAGTACTTCAGATGCAGAATGACTTGCCCACTACGCCATGCAGTGAAAGTCAAAGTCCACACAGATATTTCAATCGTAATCCACTTGTTAACCCTTCCTGCTAGGCTGGGTTCCAACTCCACCCATAGTTTGGAATTTCAGTGGGGGGGGGGGGGGGTGGCATACTGACCAACCACCAAAATCTCAATCCCTTGACAAGACATGCAGACTACCTGAATTGCTCTCAAAATCCCTGGATGGCACAAAACAAGTGAAAAAGAGCTTTTCCCGCCAAAAAAATGTTCGCCACTCGGCACAGGAATTTTAGACTCTGCGTACAGCACAGGTCGACCATGCAGTGCAGTTTGATCAGTTGGCGCGCATCTAGGGCGCCTGTCAGTGCAGATCATGCATGTTACAGTCAAATCATGGAGACCCCCTCGATAGGCCTAAACGGCAACTGGGGAATCATTTAAATAAATTATACTGAAAAATATACAATTTCATTGGAAACTGGCACCCTAGCTTTTTGGTGTCTCCCATACATTGGTGTAGTTATCGTGAAACAACAGTACATTCTGCGTTGCGTGACCCGTGCAATTACGGCTTGCCACATTTGAGGCCAGGAAAGTCAAAGAACAAGGAAATAGAAATTCAGCCAGGTTTAACAAAATTGGGATAGGTTTGCCATGGCAAAAAGGTATGGATAAGCAGATCCCAAACCCAAATATTTGAGATTTGAAGTGGGTTTTTGATCCTCAATTCAGCCCAAATCGGACTTTCAAAAGCCAGCAGGACTGTTTCCCATGAGTGGACTCTAGACTGGGTGACTGACTGTCTTGATAGTGCCTTACACAGTTTGAAGTGAGAGTGTGCACCGTACATAAATCGGGACATTAGAGGAGTTCCTGGAGTTTTCAGGAAAACTGGATCAGACAAAATATGACGTTCCAGGGAGTTTGCTTGGAATCCCCGGGATCCCGGGAGTATTGTTGATTTTCTGGGATTTTTCCGGGAAAATCAGGAGGGTTTACCTGTATTCTGTCGGCCGATGGGCAGTTCAATAGCCAATTGAGTCATCTTTCGAAGATTTCTTTCGAGTCTCTCTCCCCTCTCCTGGGGAGACCCATGTGACCAATGTTGGCAGTGAGCAAGTACACATGTGCACACAAGTATCGTAGAGTCCGCTGCAAACGCCCACCCCATTTTTGCAAGATCTGCTGGCCTGTACACACTGACCCCATGCACTGTCACCCCTACCGTACGAAATTGCATCTCACACCGTAGTGTGAAGAGCACTTTGCTACGGTAAACTATGTCGACTTTCCTGGTTTCAAAATCTCTTTGGGCACTAGCCACGATCGAGCTAGCTCGTAGTGATTTTATAATGATTGTGGTTTTATTTCGCAAATCCGAACTGGTTTTCTTCCGAATAACAAGGTACCGAAGAACAGACTATTGAAGGAACCAAATACACTTCTGACAGTGTTTCAAGCCATCATTTCGAGATCACACAACGCCCAAAGGCAAATGTTTTTCTTGGGCACTTCGGAGTTTTCAACAAGTTAGCAGCGACTTTGTAGCTGTAGCTTCTGTGCCATACCCTGTTTGACTTGCAACTGCAATATTGGGACCAGTCAAGTCGTTGACTGACGCTTCATCAGAACGATTACTGTTCCTGACAGCGTGACATCGTGGCACTGCACAACTTTCTACGGCAATACTCGTACCACATGGAGAACGAACTACCACAAGACGACACATTCATCGAATGAAAGGAAATCTCGACAGAAGTTGTTTCTTTGCAGGAAGATAATGACAATCGCTTGTGCACAGCCTCCTGGTAGGACATAGGCAGTTTGTAGGCATTACAGTCGTTCTCGTACGCATTCAACCTTCATGCCAGTTGTTTACAACTATATTGACCTGAAAAGACGAAAATAGTGTGGACCCGCTGGGTGGGCGTTTGCTGCGAAGTGGGCGTTTGCTTCGGACTTTACGGTATGGGAACAATGGGAGGATAAAGGTTAAAATTATTATGTGTATGTGTGTGTATGATTGTGCGTGTGTGTATGTATGTGTAATTGTGCGTGTGTGTATGTATGTGTAATTGTGCGCAATTGTGCGTGTGTGTATGTATGTGTAGTTGTGCGCGATTGTGCGTGTGTGTATGTATGTGTAGTTGTGCGCGATTGTGTGTGTGTGTATGTATGTGTAGTTGTGCGTGATTGTGCGTGATTGTGCGTGTGTGTATGTATGTGCACATGTGTATACTTGCATGTATAAGCTTGTGTTTGTGTGTGTGTCTGCGTGTGTCTGTGTGAGCCTGTGTGAGTTTGTGTGAGTCTGTGTGTGTGTCTTTGTGTGTGTGTCTGTGTGTGAGTGCCGGTGTCTATGTGTGTGTGTGTGTGTGTGTGTGTGTGTGTGTGTGTGTGTGTGTGTGTGTGTGTGTGTGTGTGTGTGTGTGTGTGTGTGTGTGTGTGTGCATGCGTCTGTGCGTGTGTATGTCTGTCTGCATCTGTGTGTGTGTGTGTGTGTGTACGTGTGCTTGTCTGTGTGCACTGGGTTCATCAACAGGCTCGAATGCAGGTGATTTTCCAGAAGAATTCGACTTTGAACGCGCGTACCCCACGAGGGGTTGGGATCTGGTCACGACTACAAAGTTTTATGTAACGAATAACATTGAGCGAGCAGCGTCTCCAAGGTGCCCAAAGACCTACCAGCCTACAGAATTACGCACTATCTGGAGTGACATCGGTAGTGAATTCAATGTAGATGGACCTAACGCACCGCTTTTGTGTGGTGAACCACATACACGGACCTGGGCCATACTCTTATCGGTAAGCAACCTCTCAGTAGATCATACGGTGGTAAGAATGACAACCATGCCACAGTGCTGTGACAGATTAAACACATATCAGGTTGAGGATTTCAACAATCGGGTCAAGCTGCAAGGCCATTGCACGTTGAAGACTTTCTATTACAAAACTCACGTACAGCACTGCTGCTCGCCAACCCCCCCCCCCCCCTTCCCCCTTCCCCCTTCCCCCCTTCCCCCCCCCCTTTCCCCCTCCCCCTTCCCTTTCTCACATCCACTCTCCTCCTCGCCACCTGGTTCACTAGTTCACTGCATTCATTACATTTTGACCAGACATCCCATTTTCTGCCGAATCTGTGTTTTCTCCATCCCTCGTGGCCTGTCAGGGTTCTAGCCTAGCTCGGTCCTATGGCTTTGGCGAACACAGCCGTTTCTTTCTTATTCGATGGTGTGGCCATATCAGCCAGACATGTATACTTGTATGTAGGGATGTTTACTTGTGGACCATGCATGCATGTACCAGCACATGGACGTTGCATGGTGGCGCATATGCAGACCTGCCAGTTCACATGTTTTGGCTTACCATAAAACTACAGAAGTGGGTCATCCAAACCTACGTGTACATGTGGGTATGCTTTGGAGTTATGCTTTGCAGTGTAGATTATATTAGTGTAGGCAACAGTTTCCTGTAAATCGCGGACACAAGCTATGCGATCGAGTCCACCAACTAAATAAAACCAGATTTTGAACAGTCAGACGTGCACAATCTAGCACAAAACGGACAAGGAGTTGTTGTTGTTGTTGACTTTTATTGTACTTCACCAATTGCACAGGCATGATTGCCTCCTCACCGTCCCATAGGTCCGGTTCTCGCAGAAAGATGAAGGAAATTATGGAAATTCCCTCAAACTAGTGAAAATGCAGGGCTGGTATTTGGGATCACAAAACGGCAAACACGTCAGAGGCCATCTTGAATCACTCTACGTCATCAGATACCCGCACGTGATGCGGGGCCGCGAGATCGCGACTGTGCAAAAGTGTACTTGCCAGTGCAGTCTTTGACCTAGCTGCAAGAGCAAGTGCTAGTTTTTTTATTTTTTGGTGGTGCTTGAACTAGTTCGAACTGCTTCCCTTCGACTTTCTTTGACAGAGCGGGTGCTGTTAGGGCTTCCTGTTGTCAGTTTGTATCCATCACCGGTCTTGTATGTCAGTGCTTGTACAAGGAGGTGTTCAGTAGTTAGTTTCAGTCCGCGCCATGGGTCGCATCCAGGGTAGGAAAAAGTCGCACTCTGACCGGCTTGATTATCCCGAGTCGAGAAAGAAGCGAACTAGTGGCCAGTTCGGCTCAGTATCATGGCCAGCTGGACGTAGATCAGATCGCCCAGAGGTCGAACAAACCGACAGTAGTCCTGAAATCCTTACCTCGCAGAACATTGACGATGTGGAGCGCGGTGTTCAAGAACAAGGAACCATGGTAATAATTGGATTCGCTCCAGAAAATTATTCTCGTGGGTCCCGGTTCCTTTCCCATGACTCTAATATTTCCTATGGTCTGGATACGTGCATCACGCTGAAGCCTAGATGAATCAGATTGTAAGTCAGTCTTCTCTCTAGCTCAAGATTTTGCAAACATGTTATCAGTGAACAATAAAAGCAAAGGAAACAGTGCAACAGATGGAAAATGCACGTCTCCTTCTTTTCCTTGCCGTGCGCACTGCACTGTCATGTCACAGTCTGCAGTTCTGACTGGAAGGTGTCTTCCGGCGTTTGTGAAAGAACCAGCGCAAATCGCGCGTGGCGCGGCGTCCTTCAAAACGACACAAGTGAGCTCCACATGAGCCGATTTTGACAATCGATGGCTCAAAATTTTCAGTAGGAGATGCTCCATACTTTGACCGAAGCGAATTTCGCCAAAACGATCCTAGAGGTGGGACACGTTTACCGAGTTTGAGGGTGTTATTTGAGGTCTAAATTGCGAAAATCAAAAAATCCTTCGGTGACTCCCTTTGCCCACATCTGAACTCGGTGCCTGCAAAATCTCAGCCTGCTAGAGAGAACTGTGGCTCACTTGCGTGGATTTGAACAGGCCAGAGTCGACGCGAAGTACGGCAAGATTCCCTGTACAGAGCATGGTGTGACACATGTCACGTGAACCAAAATGGCGCCCACGTGTTTCTGTACAAGTACTAGCCCTGAAAATTTAATTAATGTATAGAGATAAAGACATGCAAGCGGTATAATTATTAATTTAGAAATGTTTGTTATGTGTGTATGCTGACACTCAATTTGTGTGAATTATTTTCAAATTGTTATACCAAAATTAATAATATGTAGTGGAAGCATGAGAATACATGTGTGAACATTGGCCGACTTTGTTGGATGGGCACAATTTGTAGCAGTCCAGGGAACATGAAGTACAGCGAGAGGTGTTTGACTGTTGGCATAGAGTTTACAAGTTAAGTAGGTCAGTATCAGATAGGGCTCCTTTGAATTGATCGGCAGCAGTTATCGATCTTACATCAGCCGAGAGGGGCGTTCCATGCAATACTGCCGTGAAAGATCACTACTCGAGCGGGCAGCGGGCCCGCAAAGGAAAGGGACTTGGAGCAAGTTGGAGACTTGGCCCCTAGTGATGCGCTGATCGGTTGGCACTGTGTTTGGAGCAGTCGCTGTAGAGAGTACTGAGAGAGAGTACTGAGAGAGAGTACTGAGAGAGAGTACTGAGAGAGAGTACTGAGAGAGAGTACTGAGAGAGAGTACTGAGAGAGAGTACTGAGAGAGAGTACTGAGAGAGAGTACTGAGAGAGAGTACTGAGAGAGAGAGAGAGTTTGTGCTAGATTGTACACGTCTGACTGTTCAAAATCTGGTTTAGTTGGTGGAATTGACCGCATAACATTTGCCCACAATTTCCACGTTACAGATTTTTTCATTGGCTCACCATCTTAGTTCTTTAAAATACCGTTTCCCCTCCTATCGCCTGAAGTCGCACCAACCTCTTCTTTATCATTCTTAGGAACTGGTGGAATACTACCTACTGGTCTTGCTCCGGCACCCGGTAGTACTGCACTGTGCGCCATCGTTTGTCACGATGCGGCATGACAACAACATCCGTGTTTTCTCACACGTCGTCCAAGACGTTCATGACTGCGGTCACGGTTCAACGAGAGCGGTCCTTGGTCTGGCGGCTTTACTGCACGTTTCTCAAGCTCTGCTCTGTTCTTGGATGGAGGGATCCTATGGTTATAGTTTTCCGTGTCTCGTCATGTTCACAACTAGCTTCACCAGTGCATACTCATAATAAGTTAATCCTTCTCCAGCAGCTCAAGTTGACTCGCGGGCAGGCACCGTTTCCTTTCATTGCCTTGGTTTCCCTGTGCGGTTTTTCAAAATCGTTGGCTTCTAGGGAAGCTCACGGCATGTAAATCCGCCGAAACAAGATGCTAAAGTGTTGTCTGTGTAAAAGGAGAATAGGATTAAATTAGCTGAATCTATACAAAATTGACAAATAACTATCCGCCCCTAACTTCGCTTTGCGTCACCATTGCATCGTGCTCCATCTTTACTGCACAGGAAAAGGTGACCCTTTCCTGTGATCCTTTCCTGTGACCCTTTCCTGCTTCTTTTAAAGCTAAAATTGTGCAAGCGGGACAGACTTTAAATGATTGAGGTACAATGTGACAAACTCACCAGCCCATAGTGCTTGATTGTGTACGGCAGACTGGATAAGGGTTCTACATGTATATACCCATGATTCTAGTACTCTAGGTGAATGGCTTAGCTGGAATGGGAGCTATGCATCTAACATGGCCGTCGCCTTTTTGCGGGCAAGATACCTAATAGTTGGCAAGTACAACCCGTAAGTTCATGACCTTTTATGCAGAGCTGGTATCAAAGGTGCTTACGGTTCTAGTGGACTTGCACCGCAAAACCTAATGGCGGGAAATTTTTGCATACGTTCCATTGAGTTTTGCAGAGCGGGTAAGCTTATGCATGCACAGGACAAGCAGCACGTTAGCTTGTTGCCTTCTTCTGGTCGTTGAATGTGCAGCTTAACTGGAATCACAAGCGATTCACCGATTATATCTGGGCGTACTCCCCACGCAAGGATCGCCCATGCGAGTACAAGCATGGATTGGACTTTCTTCCTGCAGATACACACCACCGTACAAGGTGGCCACTGGTGCGGAGGACTTGCTTGTCGGAGACTGTCCAGTATGTTTGCATGCGTAAGTACCACTGCATTGCTCCACCTATTTGTGCCTGATGTACATCGACGATACAGCTTGGGAACAATCCTGCGTTTAGCTATGTCACCCCTAACACAGCAGTTATAACTCCAATTAAGTATAACAATGACCAGCGTGTCCTTTCCAGAATAGTCTCTCATCTTCACAGGGACACAATTTAACTCTTGCCTCCGTTCCCAAGGGAGCTCACGATGACGGGAATGGTCGTCTGCGGGTGTTGAACAGAGCATCCATGATCCCAGGGTGCTCACATGCATTATTCTTGCAATCCATATTTGGCAATGCGCACTGGGCTTCCTCCATTCAACACCATTGCTCTAGTATGTGAAGGGCTCTACTAATGGAGATAGTTCGTAGGTGGATTGTGGTGTAAAGGTATGACTCTCTCTCCTTAGGTCGTACACTGTAGCGTTCGGAGTTGCCAAGTGAAGCTATGTGACTCGAAAACTCCGTACGGCGGATAGGAGTGCAGTGTCTGTAAGACTTTCCGTAGACCAAATACGTATCTTACTGACGTAATTACGTTGTACGGAACCTCTTTATCATTAGGAACTGCCAATGTTCTTTGCTTCTGTAGTTGAAGGAGCTTGTAGAGGGCGTAGTGGGGTGCAAGGCACACAGCGAAGCTCCCTTCATGCCCCTGTGTAGTGTGTACTGGTCGGATCTTGACCAAGTGGGTCTGAAACACAACTCCACTGCTGAAACAATGCACCTTCTTCTAAGTATGCGCATTGTCATAGAAAAATAAAATAAAAAATGAAAAAATCCTTCTGGCCAGTTGCGGTAGCACCAGTGCAACGTGCCGGCTTTCCTAGTGTTCCCTTAATGGTCGTTGCAAACGTTTTCTGTCGTCCCTGAAACGAACACCGTTCGTTTTGTACTCGGACCTCCTCCCCTCCCTCTGAAACGAACACAGGTTGCTATGCTGGACGACGGAAATCGCATGCTTGCACGGTACAGTGTCGGTTGACTTGCGATTTTGGCTCGCACCCCCCCCCCCCCCTGTGATAAACGTATTGGTTTATTCTAATAAATACTTTGTAGTAGTCTCCATCGAGGAGCGAGTGGAAAAGAACAACAAAACAAAGAACAGCACAACGGAATCAGCATGCTCAATGTGTAGTCATGCGTGCATGCCAAATACCAATGCATGACGTAAGCTAACGTAAACTGCGTACAATAAGACAGATGCACGCGGGTGGTTGCATATAGGATAGCGTACATAATAATACAACACGCCCTTCCGAGATCATAATGGGTGAACAAGCCAGACTATGATCTAAACATAATAACTATGAAGATACAAAAAAAAAAACATGAACAAGAGGCAAGGCAACGAGAACAGGCACAGTGTAGCACAGACTACAGAAGAAGAAAAACTAATCAAACATATGACTGTCCTTGGTGTGCAGAAATGTTCAAACGGTCAGGTTGACGGCGGTTACGGGTGCTGCGACGGGGTGCAACAACAGGCTCAGTAGGTGCGGGAACAGCAGGTTCAGACGCACTATCAGTAGAAACGCGATCAGGCAGCAATGGGACATAAGGCCGTAGGAAGCGACGATTTCGCCAAAACACACGACCACTACGTAGCTTGACGTAATAGTCTCGATGGGTACCAATGGCGACAACGATGCCTCGACCTGTCCACCGTTTGGTGCGCGGATCTTGCAGATCTACGTGCATGCCAATAGTGAGCTTAGACAACGTGCGCGGCTGAGACGAATCTGGATCCGGGACAGGTGGAGAATCAGAACTCTCTATACTGGCAGCACGCTGTTTCCACTCTGGGGCAAACGACGAGTGATGCGCCAGCACGAATGACGAGAGCGAACGACCGAATAGCAGCTGGGCAGGACTGGGTCCAGACGGATGTGGGGTATTACGCCATTCCAACAGACCACGCTGGAAGGCATCGGTGTCCAGGTCGCCATTACTAGTGGTTTTCGCAATCAGGTACTTCATGGACTTCACCGCGGACTTGGCATGGCCATTTGATTGCGGGAAGTGCGGGGTTGATGTGATGTGCTTCATCTGCCAACGGTCGCAGAACTCAGTGAAGCGTCGCGACGCATACTGGGGACCACCGTCGGTTGAGATTGCACTGGGAACGCCAACATCTGTAAACCAGCGACGAAGTTGACGAACCACGTCAGAAGATGTGGCTGTGCGGCCTATCTTTGCAACACACGGCCAACCGGTGAGTCGATCGACCAACACAAGGTATTCCCAACCTTGGCAATGGAAGAGGTCAGAGCTGACACTCTCGAACGGCATTGACGGTTGACGGTCACTCTGCAGCGTTTCTCTCGGCAAAGATGGCTGGAACTCACGACAGGGCTGACATGCACGGACAAGGCGGTCAAGCTCAGAGTTCAAACCAGGCCAGTACACTAGTTGACGCGCACGGCGCTTGGTGCGGTCAATTCCTTGGTGTGCAGCGTGTAGATCGTGCAGCACAGATGCACGTAGAGCAGCAGGTACTACGATGCGATTGCCCTTCAGTACGACGGCGGAGTCGACAGATAGGTGTTCGCGTCCATTCCAATAGGGCTGCAGATGCCGTGGAAGGTCGGAACAGGAGCGTGGGAAGCCGGTGAGTACCATCTGCAGGAGATCTTGATACTCAGAGTCCGAGGCGCACGCATCTTGGAGCTTCGCATAGCGTAATGCTGACATCGAACCAGAGTCATCAGCACGGAGGCACGCACGAATAGCAGAACCAGATGGCAGGTCGTCTTCTCCAAGCAGGTCAGATGCTTGTGGGTCGGAGACGGGTGCTCGAGACAGAGCGTCGGCGGCATAATGCAGCTTTCCTTGTCTCCAGGAAGCATGAAATTGGTACGGCCGAAGCTTCAGCAGGAGACGCTGCAAACGAGGATTCTCGACCTGATCCAGGCTATACGTGTTGAAGATCGGAATCAGGGGCTGGTGGTCTACGATGAGGTCGAATCTGCTGCCGGCAAGGTACAGGTGGCACTTGCGCACAGCCCAGACCACAGCAAGACATTCAAGCTCAATCATAGCGTAGCGGCTTTCAGTGTCGGTGATAAAGCGGCTACCACACTGGACGAGGCGTCAGCCAGACGGGTGCAGTTGGAACAGTGCATAGCCGAGACCTTTCGTGCGGGATGCATCTGTTTCCAGACGTGTTTCCAGACCAGGTTGGTAATACGCCAGAATGGGGGGTTCGACCAGAGCATTCTTCACACGGTTGAACGCATCGGTGTGTGGCGTTTCCCACTGGAAAACAGCAGACGTCTTCAGCAGACCACGAAGCGGTGTCGCCAGCTCGGCGATAGCAGGTGTAAACTCAGCAAGCTGATTTACGAGGCCCATGAACGATCGGAGGTCGGTCCGATTCGTCGGGGTGGAGAAGTCGCGGATAGCGGAGAGCTTAGCGTCATCGACAGTCCAACCGTCAGCATTCAGGATGTAGCCGCAGAACTCGATCTCGGTAGCAGCGAACACAAACTTCTTCGCGCTAAGGGTTACGCCGTGCTCGCGCGCACACAACAATACGCGCCGGACGCGTGCCACATGGTCACCAAGGTCATCATCATAGACGAGACAGTCGTCGACGACCTTTTTGAAATTGGTGATGTTGTCGAATGCCGTGCTCATACGGCGGTTATACTCGTCTCCGGCCGAGATGAGGCCCTGCGGATTGCGCAAGTACTGATACCGGCCCCATGGAGTGATAAACGTTGTCAATGGCCGCGCTGCTTCGCTGAGTGGCACTTGCCAGTAGCCATGGCGAGCATCGAGCTTCGTAAAGAAGCGACCGCTGACACTGGTGACGACATCACGAGGTGGCTGTGTCGGATGCGTGGGACGTTGGATCTGATCGTTCAGCTTCTTGAAGTCCACCGTTAGACGCTTCTCAGTGGTGCCCTTCTTGTCGACTATAACAATAGGGTGGCACCAGTCGCGGGGTTCAGAGACAGGCTCAATGATGCCATCCTTCACCATGTTGTCAAGCTGTTCCTTAATCTGGTCCCGAAACGCATAGGGCACTGGTCTAGCGTGATGAACACAGGAAGGTGTAGCGTCTGGTTCGAGCTGAATGTCCATTGACGGACCAGACATGGGCTTCAGACTGTCAGAGTCGAACACGTCAGAAAACTCCTCCAGCAGCTCAGTGCGAATCTGGTCGGCGGTGGGCTCAGGTGCTTGCTTGCGCTCAACTCGGCAAACAGAAGGCCAGTTGGGCGGCAGCAATCCGAGCGCACACAGGGATGTCCGAGAGAGCAAGGCATCCGACAGCTCGGAGTACACGTGTATGGTGGTGCGGTGAGTCTTGGAGCCTAGCCCAAGACTGGAACTGATCTGGCCAACGGATACGAGAGGCTGACCGTTCACACCGCTGACAACGTCTGGGTCCTCCGCCAGGTTTTCTGGGAATCCACCCAGAAGGTCAAGATGACGAAGACCAATGGCGTCGACATCACTGCCGGTGTCCGGTATCCAGTTAATGGCTGCACCTGTCTCCTCCGTGTTGAGCGTAGTCGTCACAGACACGGTGCCTTGTTGCCCGGATGATGCTTGCTGGAGCTTCAGCTGGCCGATCTTGGAACCACGTGGCTGCTTGGATTTCTTCGGGCACATTTTTTCAAAATGTCCAGTGGCTTTGCAGCCGTTACAAGTTTTGCCAGCAGCGGGGCAGGCAGACTTGGTATGCGTAGAGCGGCCACACTGGGGACATTTCTTGGGTGATGAATAAGCAGACTGAGGTGCTGCCTTAGAGATGGCGTCCGGCGCCGGCTTGTCACCAAAGCGTTTCTGACGCTGGTACTGTGACCTACGGGCGGCGTTGATCGATGCTGACGGCAGAATACCATCCCCAGTTTGCTTTGCTGCTTCCTCAGCACGGCAAATCTTTGCGGCGTTAGCTAGTGTCAGGGATTGTTCGGCTAACAATTTGTGCCGAGTGTCGTCATCGTGCACACCCACAACAATCCGGTCACGGAGGATCTCCTCGTGTGCTTGCACCAGCATCTTGGGGCAACTGCTGCACATGCGGGCAGAGCATGCGGAACAGACTTGCAAGTCGGCGAAGTCGCAGGCAGCAAAGGACTCCTTTAAGCCGGTGTAAAAAGCATCAAAGGTTTCACCACGTTGCTGGCGTCGGTTATAGAAGTCTATCCGATCCAGCAACGGGTTACGTTGCCGACGGATATATTTTTTGACAGCACAGATTATGTCCGAGGCATCGGCATTAGTGGCCACGGCGATGATCCCCTCGCGCAAATAACGCTTTATGTCTTCATCTAGTGCCTGGCGTAGAGCACTCACTCGTGTGGGTCGGTCCTGAACGGACAGTTTCTGGCATCTCGCGTAATCCTCCCAAGCCTCCTCCCATGCGTTGAGGTCCGCGAGCGTGGCAGAGGAAAGCAGGATGGGCCGTTCTACCGAGATTTGTTTCGTCGTGGGCTGCGATGTGGATGTATTGCCACTATTGGAGCTACTCAACAGGGCAGTCAGGTGTGCCTCGCGGTCCGCTGCGGCTGTCATCTGTGCCTGCATGAAGGTCAACAGAGCCTGAACATCAGGGCTGACAGGTAAGTTTGGCGTGGCTGCTGCGCCAGGGACAGCATCACTACCAGAGTCGGACATTACGAATCGAAACAAATTTACAGCACTCGCACGAGGTTCACACCACTGAAACGACGGGCCGGGATTGTCAGGTCACAACGGGTGATCTGACCTACCGCCTACAATACTACTACGACAGGTAAGAAAATAGTTCACTGCGCCATGTGATAAACGTATTGGTTTATTCTAATAAATACTTTGTAGTAGTCTCCATCGAGGAGCGAGTGGAAAAGAACAACAAAACAAAGAACAGCACAACGGAATCAGCATGCTCAATGTGTAGTCATGCGTGCATGCCAAATACCAATGCATGACGTAAGCTAACGTAAACTGCGTACAATAAGACAGATGCACGCGGGTGGTTGCATATAGGATAGCGTACATAATAATACAACACCCCCCTCCCCCCCCCCCTCCCCAAACGGATCATGTTTGTTTCAGGGACGACAAAAAACTTTTGCGACGACCCTTTCTGCTGCTCTCCGGTCCATGGATATTTCCGCTGACTTTCTTTTTTCAAACGTTCTGCTTCCTTAGTTGTTTACAATGAATGGCTACTTTTAGTGCTATATTTTGCCAGTTTCTCTTAGGATTTCGGGATTCTCTCACTCAATTATACCAAGGAAATCTATCCCGGTCTCTCAGTTACAATAACTGCAGCCAAGAGGCTGTTTGGCGGTGGTGTATAACTGTGTGTGAGATGTAGTGTCTGCAAGGGAGTATACACACCCTGAGGAAAGCATTTTGTGATTCCCTAATAGTAACGTGTGCCGTAAAGTCTTGTATAAAAGCCGCACTTGAATAGAATCCGCTCTCGAATAGAAGCCGCAATTTTGAGCCCATCCGAATCACACATAAGCCTGGTTTCAGTGTTGACATACATAGAAATACCTGTCTTGTATAGAAGCCTGTCTCATATAGAAGCCTGCAAAATTTGACCAAGAAAGTCATAAAAGCCGCGGCTTTTATACAAGACTTTACGGTATACCATCATTTACCGGTTATAAAACAATTCCCCCTGCAGTACACCCCTTACCCGTACTTGGAGGAGCCTCAACCTATCCAGCTACAATTTTTAAGGGCAATTAAACCATTGTTGTAAGTCAACTTCCTCTTTTTGTCCGGCTTCCAGGCCATCACTGGTTGACGTATAGTCGATCAATACGGGAAATTGTGTTACTTATTTGTATCATCGATGTTCTTTATTTAAACGTTTGGCGTGTTTTAGGAAACACAAGAACTTTAAAAAGGGCTATATGCAGTGGCTTTGCCCTGTATTCTCACTCGCACAGTAATATAGTTATTTCACATGCTATGGCAAATGAGAGATGCCAGAATATTATTGGCATGAACCTTCCGACGGCAGAGCAATGGGAGGGTTTGAAGGCGTTAGCAAAGACGTTGCCCGAGAACAACTTTGGCTGCAAGGCAATGGTTGACGAATACAAAGATTCTGGAATTTTGCGGATTTCGGATACGGGTCGCAAGGGAAAATTCCTTTGTTTCGGTAAGTGACAGTATTATTTATAATGGTGAGGCTGTCGCCTGCATCGTGTCTCCAATTTTGCTAAAATCTTGCAGGTGTATTTTCCTTGGGTCTAAAACAGCCATGCAAAAGGACTCATTGCGCTACGTACAAACACCTTCGAACTGGGTACCACCTCGTACACAACAGAACAAAGAACAAAAAAAGTTGAATAAAACATCGCCAAGCCAACATCACCTGGCCTCAGTAGTCTTCATATTCCGCCGTCCGGAGCCATGCTGACATACAGGAAAGCAATGGCCGTCATCTCCAGATATCACTAAACATTTTAGTGAAAATTGCAGAAGTCCAACACAATTAATTTTAATATTGAAGAAGTCTTGATTTGTATAATCAGGGATCAAGAACTTTGCCCGGACAACCCTTGTCACTCCAAGCAACAGGCATTAGACACCCTTAGCAAACAACGTTATGTTGTAACGGTATTACTGTAAGGGGGAAAACACCGTGATTTGGGCTCGACCTTTAGCAAGATGCACGCTATTTTTAGTACCCTGTTGCCACAAGAATAGCTTTTACTTCGCGCGGTACAGCCATTTATGTCACCATAATACGCACAACAAGGTGAAATGCGTACGGACTATGCAATGTTTGGCCAAAACAGGCCCGTCGCACCGACTTTGGAGGTGGGGCGGCCGTGGAAGGGGAGGGGGGTCCGGGTGTCGTTCCCCTGGAAAAAATTTCAAAATTGAAGCCAATTGCAAGCATTTCCGAGTATTTGGTGCCATTTCAGTGTACGGTAACTACAATGAAAGTCTTTTTGATTCTGCAACAAACGAAGAAGATGCTACGATCGGGGACAAACATTACCCTCCCCCGGGGAAAAAATTGAAAAATGGAAGCCAATTGCAAGCATTTCCAGGCATTTGGTGCCATTTCAGTGTAACTGCAATGAAAGACTTTTTTCTGCAACAAACCACGATCGGGGACAAGGATTTGTCACGTTTGCGCTAAGCTGCGATCATGCATTGTGCTTTGTTGTAATATGCTCCAAAAAAACGGCCGAAAAAGTGGGGTGGCCTCAGCCGCCCCAGCCGCCCCGCCCCGGCTGTGACGGCCTTGCAAAAAACGTACCGTTGGTCACAACAATAAATCAGCCCCCATCATGTTTTTACCCTGCAGCTTCAACGCTATTTGGGTGATCAAGGTACGAGTACCATAAAAAATAGCGTTACCGTTGTTTGCTAAGGGTGTCTATTGTCTTCCCTGAACGACTCACTAGCAGCAAAGCTCTGCATAAGTGCGAACAATGTTGAACAAATGTTGATTTCTATGATCAGACCATGGTGTTTTTGCATCAAGACACTGGCCGCGTGCCATCCACCACATGGGTAAGCAGTTCGGCAAGTTTGATTCGGATTGATAGACAATATTATTAAGATCAGAATCGAAATCCAGACTATTAGGTTGGTGAGGAAGATGGTTGATGCTACGATGTTTGATGGTGCGACGTTTGTGTGAACTGCAAGGCAGTGGACTAAAAGACCTGTTGCAAGCTCAGCACCTGCAACCTGCAACCTGCAACCTGCAACCTGCAACCTGCAACCTGCAACCTGCAACCTGTTTTCGATTGTCCCGTGTACATTTCTTGTCAGATTCGGCAGAAAATGGCCACGCTGCAGTGTTTTTGGCATACTGGCGTCTGGAGCGGTGCCTGGTGTTGGAACTTGATGAGCTGCTTTCCGTTGTTGGGTAGAAAATTGGCCTCGCTGCAATGTGGTTATTGAAGTGAGTATTCAGTTGGTGGATTTCTAGAAAACATGCAAAAGGTTTTACAAGACATGTCCTGGGTGGCAGTGAAGAGAGTGTGCTGACCGGTAGTGTGTGCTGACCGGTAGTGTGTGCTGACCGGTAGAGTGTGCTGACCGGTAGAGTGTGCTGACCGGTAGTGTGTGCTGACCGGTAGTGTGTGCTGACCGGTAGAGTGTGCTGACCGGTAGAGTGTGCTGACCGGTAGTGTGTGCTGACCGGTAGTGTGTGCTGACCGGTAGTGTGTGCTGACCGGTAGTGTGTGCTGACCGGTAGTGTGTGCTGACCGGTAGAGTGTGCTGACCGGTAGTGTGTGCTGACCGGTAGTGTGTGCTGACCGGTAGTGTGTGCTGACCGGTAGAGTGTGCTGACCGGTAGAGTGTGCTGACCGGTAGTGTGTGCTGACCGGTAGTGTGTGCTGACCGGTAGTGTGTGCTGACCGGTAGAGTGTGCTGACCGGTAGTGTGTGCTGACCGGTAGTGTGTGCTGACCGGTAGAGTGTGCTGACCGGTAGAGTGTGCTGACCGGTAGTGTGTGCTGACCGGTAGAGTGTGCTGACCAGTAGAGTGTGCTGACCGGTAGTGTGTGCTGACCGGTAGTGTGTGCTGACCGGTAGTGTGTGCTGACCGGTAGAGTGTGCTGACCGGTAGAGTGTGCTGACCGGTAGTGTGTGCTGACCGGTAGTGTGTGCTGACCGGTAGTGTGTGCTGACCGGTAGTGTGTGCTGACCGGTAGAGTGTGCTGACCGGTAGTGTGTGCTGACCGGTAGTGTGTGCTGACCGGTAGAGTGTGCTGACCGGTAGAGTGTGCTGACCGGTAGTGTGTGCTGACCGGTAGAGTGTGCTGACCAGTAGAGTGTGCTGACCGGTAGAGTGTGCTGACCGGTAGTGTGTGCTGACCGGTAGAGTGTGCTGACCGGTAGTGTGTGCTGACCGGTAGAGTGTGCTGACCGGTAGAGTGTGCTGACCGGTAGAGTGTGCTGACCGGTAGTGTGTGCTGACCGGTAGTGTGTGCTGACCGGTAGAGTGTGCTGACCGGTAGTGTGTGCTGACCGGTAGAGTGTGCTGACCGGTAGAGTGTGCTGACCGGTAGTGTGTGCTGACCGGTAGTGTGTGCTGACCGGTAGTGTGTGCTGACCGGTAGATTGTGTTGACCGGTAGTGTGTGCTGACCGGTAGTGTGTGCTGACCGGTAGTGTGTGCTGACCGGTAGTGTGTGCTGACCGGTAGTGTGTGCTGACCGGTAGAGTGTGCTGACCGGTAGAGTGTGCTGACCGGTAGTGTGTGCTGACCGGTAGTGTGTGCTGACCGGTAGTGTGTGCTGACCGGTAGTGTGTGCTGACCGGTAGATTGTGTTGACCGGTAGTGTGTGCTGACCGGTAGTGTGTGCTGACCGGTAGTGTGTGCTGACCGGTAGTGTGTGCTGACCGGTAGTGTGTGCTGACCGGTAGAGTGTGCTGACCGGTAGTGTGTGCTGACCGGTAGTGTGTGCTGACCGGTAGTGTGCGCTGACCGGTAGTGTGTGCTGACCGGTAGTGTGTGCTGACCGGTAGTGTGTGCTGACCGGTAGTGTGTGCTGACCGGTAGAGTGTGCTGACCGGTAGAGTGTGCTGACCGGTAGAGTGTGCTGACCGGTAGAGTGTGCTGACCGGTAGTGTGTGCTGACCGGTAGTGTGTGCTGACCGGTAGTGTGTGCTGACCGGTAGAGTGTGCTGACCGGTAGTGTGTGCTGACCGGTAGTGTGTGCTGACCGGTAGAGTGTGTTGACCGGTAGTGTGTGCTGACCGGTAGAGTGTGCTGACCGGCAGTGTGTGCTGACCGGTAGAGTGTGCTGACCGGTAGTGTGTGCTGACCGGTAGTGTGTGCTGACCGGTAGAGTGTGCTGACCGATAGAGTGTGCTGACCGGTAGAGTGTGCTGACCGGTAGAGTGTGCTGACCGGTAGAGTGTGCTGACCGGTAGTGTGTGCTGACCGGTAGTGTGTGCTGACCGGTAGAGTGTGCTGACCGGTAGTGTGTGCTGACCGGTAGTGTGTGCTGACCGGTAGTGTGTGCTGACCGGTAGAGTGTGCTGACCGGTAGAGTGTGTTGACCGGTAGTGTGTGCTGACCGGTAGAGTGTGTTGACCGGTAGTGTGTGCTGACCGGTAGAGTGTGTTGACCGGTAGTGTGTGCTGACCGGTAGAGTGTGTTGACCGGTAGTGTGTGTTGACCGGTAGTGTGTGTTGACCGGTAGAGTGTGCTGACCGGTAGTGTGTGCTGACCGGTAGAGTGTGCTGACCGGTAGTGTGTGCTGACCGGTAGAGTGTGCTGACCGGTAGAGTGTGCTGACCGGTAGTGTGTGCTGACCGGTAGAGTGTGTTGACCGGTAGTGTGTGCTGACCGGTAGTGTGTGCTGACCGGTAGTGTGTGCTGACCGGTAGTGTGTGCTGACCGGTAGTGTGTGCTGACCGGTAGTGTGTGCTGACTGGTAGAGTGTGCTGACCGGTAGAGTGTGCTGACCGGTAGAGTGTGCTGACCGGTAGTGTGTGCTGACCGGTAGTGTGTGCTGACCGGTAGTGTGTGCTGACCGGTAGATTGTGTTGACCGGTAGTGTGTGTTGACCGGTAGAGTGTGCTGACCGGTAGTGTGTGCTGACCGGTAGTGTGTGCTGACCGGTAGAGTGTGCTGACCGGTAGTGTGTGCTGACCGGTAATGTGTGCTGACCGGTAGTGTGTGCTGACCGGTAGTGTGTGCTGACCGGTAGTGTGTGCTGACCGGTAGTGTGTGCTGACCGGTAGTGTGTGCTGACCGGTAGTGTGTGCTGACCGGTAGTGTGTGCTGACCGGTAGTGTGTGCTGACCGGTAGTGTGTGCTGACCGGTAGATTGTGTTGACCGGTAGTGTGCGCTGACCGGTAGTGTGTGCTGACCGGTAGTGTGTGCTGACCGGTAGATTGTGTTGACCGGTAGTGTGTGCTGACCGGTAGTGTGTGCTGACCGGTAGTGTGTGCTGACCGGTAGTGTGTGCTGACCGGTAGAGTGTGCTGACCGGTAGAGTGTGCTGACCGGTAGTGGGTGCTGACCGGTAGTGTGTGCTGACCGGTAGTGTGTGCTGACCGGTAGAGTGTGTTGACCGGTAGTGTGTGCTGACCGGTAGTGTGTGCTGACCGGTAGTGTGTGCTGACCGGTAGTGTGTGCTGACCGGTAGTGTGTGCTGACCGGTAGTGTGTGCTGACCGATAGAGTGTGCTGACCGGTAGAGTGTGCTGACCGGTAGAGTGTGCTGACCGGTAGAGTGTGCTGACCGGTAGTGTGTGCTGACCGGTAGTGTGTGCTGACCGGTAGAGTGTGTTGACCGGTAGTGTGTGCTGACCGGTAGTGTGTGCTGACCGGTAGTGTGTGCTGACCGGTAGAGTGTGTTGACCGGTAGAGTGTGCTGACCGGTAGTGTGTGCTGACCGGTAGAGTGTGCTGACCGGTAGTGTGTGCTGACCGGTAGTGTGTGCTGACTGGTAGAGTGTGCTGACCGGTAGAGTGTGCTGACCGGTAGAGTGTGCTGACCGGTAGTGTGTGCTGACCGGTAGTGTGTGCTGACCGGTAGTGTGTGCTGACCGGTAGATTGTGTTGACCGGTAGTGTGTGCTGACCGGTAGTGTGTGCTGACCGGTAGTGTGTGCTGACCGGTAGTGTGTGCTGACCGGTAGTGTGTGCTGACCGGTAGTGTGTGCTGACCGGTAGATTGTGTTGACCGGTAGTGTGTGTTGACCGGTAGAGTGCGTTGACCGGTAGTGTGTGCTGACCGGTAGAGTGTGCTGACCGGTAGTGTGTGCTGACCGGTAGTGTGTGCTGACCGGTAGTGTGTGCTGACCGGTAGATTGTGTTGACCGGTAGTGTGTGCTGACCGGTAGTGTGTGCTGACCGGTAGTGTGTGCTGACCGGTAGTGTGTGCTGACCGGTAGTGTATGCTGACCGGTAGTGTGTGCTGACCGGTAGATTGTGTTGACCGGTAGTGTGTGTTGACCGGTAGAGTGCGTTGACCGGTAGTGTGTGCTGACCGGTAGAGTGTGCTGACCGGTAGTGTGTGCTGACCGGTAGTGTGTGCTGACCGGTAGTGTGTGCTGACCGGTAGATTGTGTTGACCGGTAGTGTGTGCTGACCGGTAGTGTGTGCTGACCGGTAGTGTGTGCTGACCGGTAGTGTGTGCTGACCGGTAGTGTGTGCTGACCGGTAGTGTGTGCTGACCGGTAGTGTGTGCTGACCGGTAGTGTGTGCTGACCGGTAGTGTGTGCTGACCGGTAGATTGTGTTGACCGGTAGTGTGCGCTGACCGGTAGTGGGTGCTGACCGGTAGTGTGTGCTGACCGGTAGTGTGTGCTGACCGGTAGTGTGTGCTGACCGGTAGAGTGTGCTGACCGGTAGATTGTGTTGACCGGTAGTGTGTGCTGACCGGTAGTGTGTGCTGACCGGTAGTGTGCGCTGACCGGTAGTGTGTGCTGACCGGTAGTGTGTGCTGACCGGTAGTGTGTGCTGACCGGTAGAGTGTGCTGACCGGTAGTGTGTGCTGACCGGTAGAGTGTGTTGACCGGTAGTGTGTGCTGACCGGTAGTGTGTGCTGACCGGTAGTGTGTGCTGACCGGTAGTGTGTGCTGACCGGTAGAGTGTGCTGACCGGTAGTGTGTGCTGACCGGTAGAGTGTGTTGACCGGTAGTGTGTGCTGACCGGTAGTGTGTGCTGACCGGTAGTGTGTGCTGACCGGTAGAGTGTGCTGACCGGTAGAGTGTGCTGACCGGTAGAGTGTGCTGACCGGTAGAGTGTGTTGACCGGTAGTGTGTGCTGACCGGTAGTGTGTGCTGACCGGTAGAGTGTGCTGACCGGTAGAGTGTGCTGACCGGTAGAGTGTGCTGACCGGTAGTGTGTGCTGACCGGTAGTGTGTGCTGACCGGTAGAGTGTGTTGACCGGTAGTGTGTGCTGACCGGTAGTGTGTGCTGACCGGTAGAGTGTGCTGACCGGTAGAGTGTGCTGACCGGTAGAGTGTGCTGACCGGTAGTGTGTGCTGACCGGTAGTGTGTGCTGACCGGTAGTGTGTGCTGACCGGTAGAGTGTGCTGACCGGTAGAGTGTGCTGACCGGTAGAGTGTGCTGATGGGTAGAGTGTGCTGACCGGTAGTGTGTGCTGACCGGTAGTGTGTGCTGACCGGTAGTGTGTGCTGACCGGTAGTGTGCGCTGACCGGTAGTGTGTGCTGACCGGTAGTGTGTGCTGACCGGTAGTGTGTGCTGACCGGTAGTGTGTGCTGACCGGTAGTGTGTGCTGACCGGTAGAGTGTGCTGACCGGTAGTGTGTGCTGACTGGTAGAGTGTGCTGACCGGTAGTGTGTGCTGACCGGTAGTGTGTGCTGACCGGTAGTGTGTGCTGACCGGTAGTGTGTGCTGACCGGTAGTGTGTGCTGACCGGTAGAGTGTGCTGACCGGTAGAGTGTGCTGACCGGTAGAGTGTGCTGACTGGTAGAGTGTGCTGACCGGTAGAGTGTGCTGGCCGTCAGAGTGTGCTGACCGGTAGTGTGTGCTGACCGGTAGAGTGTGCTGACCGGTAGAGTGTGCTGACCGGTAGAGTGTGCTGACCGGTAGTGTGTGCTGACCGGTAGTGTGTGCTGACCGGTAGAGTGTGCTGACCGGTAGAGTGTGCTGACCGGTAGAGTGTGCTGCAGAATAATAAACACCCGGTACAGGATTATGGCCCTTGAAATTTGGCTAAATTCGCGATGCAGTATAGTGGAATCGAAAAGATGATGGTCATTGCTTTCCTGGCCTGGATGTAGGCATGGCGGTATAAGGTCACGAGTGATATGAAGGTTAGCGAGGCAAGGTATTGTTGGTGTGGCGGTGGCCCTTTTCTTCTTCTTACTTCTCTTGTGTACGCTGTACCTGCGCTGCCTTTGTTCCCAAAGTTCAGTCGTATTTTGGGGACCATCCAAGGTGGTTCCCAGATCCGAGGTGGTTCCTGTTGTGTCCTGCTCAAGGCAGACCAACTCTTCGAAAGATGAGAATGAATCATCAGTAAAACGCAATGGCTTTTAAAGGGAAGCTGGCTGCAAAGGCGGCTTGAAAGGTGACATGTGAATGTGTTATGTGCAAGGCGCCAGAGGTACAGCAGTGCAGGGCCTAGGGTGCGAACAGTAGCACTAGCAGCCTGAGTGCCAAGACCCATGCAGGGAAAGGTGCTACAATATCACCACAGTTCCCAGTTCCAAGGTGTCCGTAAGTTGTGCAGCGAATCCTTTTGCGTGGCTGTTTTAGACCGTAAGTGAAGGATACCTGCGAACTGTCAGTAACATTGGGAGAAATGACCCAGCCCGGCTTGCTCTACTTGCACCCTGAGAACTTCAGCTCTACACGTTGCACCTTCACAATTGGAGACATAGCCAGCAATCGCATGCCATCACATACATTCAAAATCAACATAATTATGCTAATCGACCTTTTTTCATAAAATAGCAATGAAAAATATCAATTGTGCACTCATAACCATGTATAAAACAATTAAAATGAAACAATTCCAGAATGTTTTCGTGTGACTATCATCAGTGGAACATCATCACATAGTAAGAATCACTAAAACAATCAGTTATATAGCTAGAGTAATATGAAAAGAAGCGTGAGAATGCAGCACAGCTAGCGGTTATACATAACGCGTGTAGTGTGAACCTTTGCCGTGTATCTGAGACCTTTTTTCAGCATCACTTTTCAACGAGGACGAACGAAGCCCAGCGGAAGAAAATCACCCTCTCCACTTCACCATCACGATACTGACATAGATACGAGACGAAACAACTAAAAAATCCATAAGAAAACTGTACAGCCATCTTCGCGCTGACTTTGGTCTGACAATTTCTATCACGATGAAAGATGTACGAGGAGCACTCAAAATAAGCTACAGACGTACCTTTATCACTCTCTACTCCTTTTTCAAGGCACAAAAGTCGACTGTTCACTTTCAAACCAGGAACCTGACATACCAGTGGTCCTTTTCAGCTGCTCCACGAGCGCAACAAATGTTCACCAAGGGGCGCAGAGCAGCATCCATTCCAGAAAAAGAGCTAACTTGAATACGAGTGCGGCTGCATGCCTGAGTACATGAGTACATGCATGAGTACATGCATGAGTACATGCAGAAAATAGTCTATTTCAGCGTGTCTGCTCCAAACAGCAACTTCCTTCGACTAGCTACAAAGGTTACACCAAAGGATCAAACAACAACCATTTTCTTCGTTTTTTGGCAGATGGCTTCCTTGTGCTTGGCCCAGCACGCCAAAAATCACACCTCCGAGCAGTACAAAAATTACAACTCTCAGATCTCCTCGATTGCTGGCCATGGCTCAGTCAAACTGAGGAAGCGAATGTATTCGAACAACCACGGCTGTCTGGACATTGTATCCCTGACAATAGGTTGCAGTGACAGCAAAAAAGTGCATCCAATTATGTCTCCCACCAGCCTTTTATCTCTCTCTCAGGCACCTGCTTTCTCCTCCCTCCCTCCCTCCCTCCCTCCCTCCCTACCTCCCTCCCTACCTTCTCTCTCTGCCTCTCTCTCTCTCTCTCCCTCTCTCTCTCTCTCTCTCTCTCTCTCTCTCTCTCTCTCTCTCTCTCTCTCTCTCTCTCTCTCTCTCTCTCTCTCTCTCTCTCTCTCTCTCTCTCCCTCTCCCTCTCCATCTCTCCCTCTCTCTCTCTTTCTCTCTCTCTCTCTCTCTCTCTCTCTCTCTCTCTCTCTCTCTCTCTCTCTCTCTCTCTCTCTCTCTCTCTCTCTCTCTCTCTCTCTCTCTCTCTCTCTCTCTCTCTCTCTCTCTCTCTCTCTCTCTCTCTCTCTCTCTCTCTCTCTATCTATCTATCTATCTATATCTATCTTTCTCTCTCTCTCTCTTTCTTTCTTTTTCCCTGACTGCCTCTATCTCTCCCTGTCCTCTCACGACTGCAGGCTGCCGTCCACTTGTCAGCCAGGACACAGGAATAAATTACGTAACGCCGAATGGCACCGTGGTTTGTCACAATCAACGCCGGCCGCGCCGTTTGGCGAGCACAACAGGAGCGCCATACTGTGTTAACGGATTTTGGAGGAACTTGGACAGCTGTGAAAGTGAGCTTTTATACTCTCACTTATGTTGGTTTTCTCCTAACTCTGTCTATTTATCTAGTCAATCCATTTTCTATCTCTATCCCTGGCCATCTATGTTTTTCTCTATCCCTTTCTGTGTGTGTGTGTATGTGTGTGTATGTGTCCCCCCCCTAAGACGGCGACCTTTCTCGCTGCGACAACTGGCGAGGAATTGCGTTGCTGGAGGTTGTGGGGAAGCTAGTTGCTAGGGTCGTGCAGAATCGGCAGCAAGTGCTCGCTGAGGATGAGCTACCGGAGTCGCAGTGTGGGTTCCGGCGAAACCGTGGTTGTGCTGATGCCATCTTCTCTGTCCGCCAACTGGTAGAGAAATCATATGAGCATAGATCGAAGCTGTTTTGCGTCTTTGTGGACCTCCGCAAAGCATACGACTCTGTGCCTCGTGAGGCTCTGTGGCAGGCATTGCTTCGGCTCGGTGTCCCCCTTTAGACTGTGGCTCTCGTGAAGTCGTTCCATACGGACATGTCGGCATCTGTTCGTGTTGCTGGTGGTTGTACCAATCGATCTCTGTACAAAATGGTTAACCGTTTACGGCAGGGGTGTGTCATGGCTCCTGTGCTGTTCAACCTGTATTTCGGATTGGTGATGGACCGGTGGAGGTCTGTTCTCAGGGAGCGCGGCATCGAGTCTGGTGTGGATTTCAGCTTCTTGATTGATGGGCAGTTGTTTCCCCGTGCAGCTGGGTGATGTCGACAGTCTCAGACTGGTCATGCTGATGATTGTGAGTTTCCCGATGACGCCGTCCTACTCGCAACAACTCGTGCTGCAGCCGACCTGTCCCTGTCCGCCTTCTGCGATGTGGCACCCAGCTTTGGCCTCACGGTCAGCATGACGAAGACTAAGCTACTAGTCGCGGGCTATGGAGTCGCTGCCACTGATTGTTCCGATCTGGCAGTTGGCAATCAAAGGGTTGAAGCTGTTACCTCCTTCCCCTATCTTGGATCTGTTATAACTCCGGATTCGCGAGCTCATGCCGATGTCCAGAGCCACCTTGCGAAGGGTGCCAGGGCCTTTGGCTGTCTTCGGCGGATTTTACATGATCAGAGCCTGAACCTGCCTACTCGACGGCATTTGTATGTGGTATGTGTTCTCACCACGGTTTTGTATGGCTCAGAGTGTTGGACCCCATTGAGGTCGGACTTGGACAAGCTGGACAGGTTCCATCACGCCAACCTACGGTCAATCTTGGCATTTCGCACGGCCGCCAGTGGGAGCAGCACATTACATCGGAGCAACTACACACACAGTGGGGTGACCCTACTCCACTGTCGTGCATGGTACAGCGAAGACGCTTGGAGTGGCTTGGGCACCTAGCTCGGCTTGATGACAATCGGTTACCCAAGCAGTTGCTCTTCGCTCATCTCCCACGAACCCGCGTGCACAATTGGTTCCAATCGGCCAACGATCGCGGATAGTGGCGTGACATAGTGTCGGCAGCAGCGGGGGTGAAGGAGCCTGCCCCGAAGACGATTGTGTGCCACGTTTGCGGCCGCCTGTTTCGTCGGCGCGATGGCCCGGCACAAGTGCACAGCAGTCCGACAGCTCCCCGTATCACAGCAGCCTGGGTCGGTGCAGTGTCCTGCCTGCAGTAGATGGCTCCGGAGCAGGGGTGGGCTTGCAGTGCATAAGTGCCAAGAGAGTGACAACTGTGACGACCGACCGCCTTATGATGCTCCTCCTGTTGCTGGGGTCCTGGTGTGTACTGCCTGCCAGCGTACTTTCAAGTCTACTGCTGGCCTCAAGCGCCATCGCTGTGGACCCCGCCCGAAGCGCCCTACAGTGACTGATCGCCAGCACTTTGAACATCATTGCCGAGTCTGTAATCAACGCCAGTTTCGGAGGCGACAGGACCTGGAGCGCCATTTGAAGCACTGCCTACCTCTCCCCTAACCTCTCTGACAGTACCTCCCTTTGGGGAGCGGCGTGGCCATTTCTGGCAGCTGTCAATAGTAGTAGTAGTAGTAGCAGCAGCAGCAGCAGCAGCAGCAGCAGCAGCAGCAGCAGCAGCAGCAGACAGCAGCAGCAGCAGTAGCAGTAGCAGTAGCAGTAGCAGTAGCAGTAGCAGTAGCAGTAGTAGTAGTAGTAGTGGATGTGTCCATGGTTAACAGGCATGTATACTTCAAATAGAAAAGTATATGAACCCTGGAACGAAGAACATGGACTGCTTCTGGCTAGATTAACTCCTGTATAATCAATGGTGCTAGTAAAGCTGATATCAGATTCACTCTGATTTAGCCAACCACACTAGTAGCAAGCATTACCTTCACAGGGGGGGGGCAGGGTAACTGCAGTTGGATCCCTGGACGGATACCCTGATGCCGTCAATCCTTTTTCTGCACCTTGTCCTCACCCACTTACTGAGGTGTGGTGAGCCCATAAGTGGGATCATTTTCAAGTCCGCCCAGAGTTTTGGGGATTTTAGGTTGTGTCAGCCGTTGGGCGGTTCTATAGCCAATTGAGTCATCTTTCCAAGATTCCTTTTGAGTCTCTCTCTTCTCCCCGGGCAGACCCACGTGACCAGTTTTGGCAGTGGGCAACAAGTACAAGTACAAGTAAAAGTGTGTGTGTGTGTGTGTGTGTGCGCGCGTGTGTGTGTGTGTGTGTGTGTGTGTGTGTGTGTGTGTGTGTGTGTGTGTGTCCAAATAGCTGTATGGTGTAGACCAGGCTGAAAAGTGACGGTCAATTCTTCAGCCTTGCAAGCTGTTGAATGGTGTAATCCCAGCACAAGTTGCTATGGCTTCTGCCGTAGCATTGCTATCATCGCCTCCGGCGATGGGCGTCAAAGGTCAAAGGTCAAAGGTGTGTGTGTGTGTGTGTGTGTGTGTGTGTGTGTGTGCGAGAGAGAGAGAGGGAGAGAGAGAGAGAGTATGTGTGAGCCACTTTTTAATCAACGGTGCTAGATAATCATTCCATTATATCCACTCTGATTTAGCACACTACAGTCCATTTCCAAAAGATTACCAATCAAGGCTTTTCCCTGGGAGTTAGCCGTTTTCCCCGTTTGAGCTCCCTGGAATAACTCGCCGAAATTTTGTTTTGCAAGGTTCAGTGTGACAGTGTATACAGGCAGCAGCAGTACAGGCCAAACATTTAATGGGAACAAATGTGTTGTTGCCCTGGGAGGCGTATTGCCTTCCCCGAGGGCAGGGGTATACACAGTTAGATCCGTTATTTATTTTTTCCCAAGCAATACATGGCTGGGTAGCCAATGGCCACTTTGCATGGATACCCTGCTGCAGTCAGTCTATTCCTGCACTTGTCCTCATCCACGAACAGCGGCATGGTGAGACTATTATGCTGAGTCATGTTTTCTAGTCCACAACACAGTTCGCTGATTTGGGTATTGTAAGCTCTTGGGCGGTTCAATAGCCAATGATTTATTTCTTCCAGGATTTCTTCTGAATATTTCACCCCTCGGTCAAGGGGAGAACCATACATCCAGTTTATGACAGTGAGCAAAGACATGCAGGCGGACAAGAAAAGCAATGTGTGTATGTATAAGTGCAGATATAATCAAGCAATGTACTAGTATGGGTGTGTTTGCGTGCTTGCATCCTGTTGTGTACGTGTGTGGGTGTGTGTGTTTTCAGGAGTACTTGTTGTAAAAAGTCACGATATTTTACAGATGCGCACTCCGAATTGGACCATGGACTACAGAAGTAAGTAGTTCTGAAGGATTGTTTTTAGGGCCTGAAAGGAATAAACATGTCCCAAACTAAAGAAGGAAGGCTGCATTCACAGAAAGGGTCGATGCCAGCTTTCTGAACATGCACAGTGAGATCTTCTTCATACTCTGGAAATGCATACCAAAGAGCATGAATCACCAAGAATAGCAACAACATGTTGAAACAGTACTACCTGCCAGGGTCTCGGACATTACGGTACGGTCATTACGGTATGTGCCGTATCACTATTTGCCCAACGTGCCCCGTGAATCAATTAAATACACCTATCTGGGTCTGAGGTTCCATAATTTTCGGCTCGGCCACCACCTCCCCCACGAGTAAATTGTACTTCAGATGGCTGACCGCACCACCCTAAAATACCGTCCAAC